TAACTGATATATTTATGTATCGTTTTAATTTTTATCAGTGTGTGGATGTGTATGATGTGACAGTTCAGGGGATGCTATGGCGTGGGCACATTTGATTAAAGGCAAGAGGATAGACACATACTTGAAACAGAGTAGCCAGGTGATAGATAGCCTTGCTTTTTAAATGTCTACTAGCTTCTTACATTTTTGTTTAATTCTCTTTTGTGTGTATACCTGTATGTCTGTCTCTGTACCACATGTGTTCTGGTGCCACTGGAGGCCAGAAGAGGGCTCAGATCTCCTGGAACTGGAGTTCCAGATAGTTGTGAACTGCCATATGGGTGCTGGGAATCAAACCCAAGTGCTCGGAAGAGCAGCCAGTGCTCTTAACTACTGAGCCATCCCAGTCCCTCCAGAGGACAGCAAATGAAAGTCAGTTCTTTTCTTCCATCACTGGTTGTGGGAGATTGAACTAGGTCGTCAGACTTGTGTGACAAATGCTTTTACCTGCTGAGCTATCTTGCTGGACTGTTTTTTTTTTTTTTTTTTTCAGGAAAAAGAACACAAAATTTATTATATGCTTCATGCTTAGGCCTCAGACTGTAGTCTGGCATATGTAGAAGGAATTTGCTCTATGTAGGGCTGAGATTGCCAGTATTGACAATGTGATGATTGTCTCTGTTCTTTCCTGTATCCCTCACTGCTTTGTTATAATTATATCAGACTGCTGCAATTTAATTTTAGTTTTGTTTTTCATAGTACCAACACCATAGCAACAGCCTGCTGTTTGTGTGAGCTCTGTTAGTTGATCTGGAACATAGTGTGAGATTAAAAACAAAGGTTTGGTGGTTTTTTTTTGTTTTTGTTTTTTCGAGACAGAGTTTCTCTGTGTAGTCCTGGCTGTCCTGGAACTCACTCTGTAGACCAGGCTGGTCTCGAACTCAGAAATCCGCCTGCTTCTGCCTCCCAAGTGCTGGGATTAAAGGCATACACCACCACTGCTCGGCCAAAGTTTTGTTTTTAAACCAAAACCCGATGCTGAAGGTAGGTTGTAATTGGTGACTAGTGTTTTTAGCATCTCATTGATGATCCAGTGATGGAGAGCTGTGTTGCAGCAGGGCTGACAGGCTTTGGTGATTACTGACACATTTCAGGCTCAGCTTCTGCAGTATTAGAATTGTTAGGTCATCCTTGTATAGTGCAAGTGCATATTCTAAAACTCATCTCTAGAGATGATAACAAATAAAGCACTCATTTGTAGCCAAGTGGGGCTCACTCTGGGGAATCAGAAGCCTGTTGACAATAGGCTGTTTTGTGAAGCTGCATGTGTTAAACAAGAAAGACTGGTGGAATGAGTAAATGGTGATTGTCACGTGAGAGCTAATTTTAGTTCCTAGGTCTCCCTGTGATCTTGGAAATGAGAATAAAAAAGACCTTGCCTGTGCTGAGGATTTGCAGTGTCCCAGGGTGCTGTGTGACCTAGATATTTAAGCAGTGAAGTTGTGTGACTAGACTTTGCCCTACAAAAGATTTCCAACACTTGGACTAATGTCTGCCTTTTCTTAGAACTAAAACAGGGACGCTCAGTTTTGTTAATGGAGTCTTAGGACCAGCTCTCATAGTCTCCATTGACTCCCTTCACTAGACTTCTCTGTCTCATTCGCATACAGTGATTCTGGTGAGAGCTTCACGTGCTGTTGGTTATGAGAATGGGAAAGAAAGCATGTGTGTGTGGAGGATTGCTGCTTGAGGCAGTCTTGCTCTGTATCTCTGGCTGCTTGACGTTCACTGTGAAGTCCTAGATGGCCTTGAACATGCAAAGATCTTTCAGCCTCTGCCTCATAATTGTTGACAATGCAGGTATATGCTTCTATGCCTGATGGTAGATTTTGTACAACTAAGGATCAAACCCAGTGTTCATGTGCATGCTACATGAACACTGTACCACTGAGCTGTACATGCCTAATCCTGCGTATTTGTACTGGCAAGGGTCAAAGGTCAGAAAGATGGGGGCACCTTTTAATAATTTAGGTTTTTTGTTTTTGTTTTTGGTTTTAGTTTTTTCGAGACAGGGTTTCTCTGTGTAGCCCTGGCTGTCCTGGAACTCACTCTGTAGACCAGGCTGGCCTCGAACTCAGAAATCTGTCTGACTCTGCCTCCCAAGTGCTGGGATTAAAAGTGTGTGCCACCACCGCCTGGCAATTTAGTGTGTTTTAGGGTTTCTCTGTGTAGCCTTGGCTGGCCTGGAACTCACTCTGTAGACAAGGCTGACCTCGAATTCAGAAATCTGCCTGCCTCTGCCTCCCAAGTTCTGGGATTAAGGTGTGCGCCACCACTGCCTTGCTTGAAATTATATGTAATTGCATCATTTCCCCCCTTTCCTCCTTCTCTTTGCTCTCCCATGCATGTCTTGCTCTCTCAGCTTCATGACTTCATGGCTTCTTCCTCTGTAATAGTGGTTGCTATTGTTGTGTGTGTGTGTGTGTGTGTGTGTTATTTTTGAGACAGGATCTCATAGACTCATATCCTCCTTCTTTCCCCTCCCAAGTGCTGAGATTACAGGGGTTTACCACCATGCCCAGTTTAATAGAATCTAATCCAGGGCTTTGTACATATATTCTCATCTCTACTTTTTTTTTTTTCTTCGCAACAGGAAGGGTCTCACTATATAGCTTTGTCTGGCCTGTACCTCACTATGGACAGGCCTTGAACTCAAGAGTTCTACCCACTCCTGCCTCCCCAATTGCTGGGATTAAAAGTGTGCACCATTGTGCCTGTTAGAAAATGGAAAATTTTAGATACACCTTTAGACCACTTAATGGGAAAATTTATAGGAAGTCATCAGTCCTAGATAATAAAATGGTCATATGGCATGTATGAAAGAAAAAAGGTTGAGATTGAGATGATAGAGCAGTCAATAAAGTGCTTGCTACACAAGCATGACCTTCGTTTCTTCCCCGAGTACCATTGTGAATGCCTGGTGCACTGGTGTATTCCTGTAGTCCTAGTGCTTGAGAGGCAGGGAGGAGGACTCCTGGTGCTTGAACTCCAGGTTTAGGGCCAACCTGGAAGAGTAGGAGCCATCTGGCATAGTGCTGTATTAGAACATGGTTCCTTACTGGCTGCTCAGCCATGAACTAACAATTTGGTTTTGTCCACAGGTATAAAGACTTTGTGTCATTTGATTAATGTTTCTGTCCCTGAATTGTTATTTTGAAAGCTATTCCTGGTAAATTCCCTAGATTTGTAACCCTGGATTTTTCACAGCAGGGCTGCGGAGTCACAAGAGAAGTTGTAAGGCAGTAATTAAGTTACTGTCTATGCTCTTGAGAAAATGTTTTCAAACTTTGCTTTGGAAGGAGCTTCTAGGTTATTAGATTCCTTTAATTTCTTTTTCTCTTTTTTTTTTCTTTTTTCTTTTTTCTTTTTTTTTTTTATGTTTTTTTTCGAGACAGGGTTTCTCTGTGTAGTCCTGGCTGTCCTGGAGCTCACTCTATAGACCAGGCTGGCCTCGAACTCAGAAATCCACCTGCCTCTGCCTTCCAAGTGCTGGGATTAAAGGTGTGCGCCACCACCGCCCGGCTGGTTCCTTTAATTTCTAAAGTTTTACATTTGAGAACTAAAGCCTTTACACATAGTATGATGGGATATTAGATCATGCAGTATACTGGAATAGGATGTGTTTAGTATTTTACTTGAATATAAAGTTTTTCTTTTTCTTTTTTTTAGATTTATTAATTTATTTTATTTATGTGAGTACACTGTAGCTGTCTTGAGACACACCAGAAGAGGACATCGAATCCCATTACAAATGGTTGTGAGCCACCATGTGGTTGTTGGGAATTGAACTCAGGACCTCTGGAAGAGCAGTCACTGCTCTTAAACAGCCATCTCTCCAGCCCAAATATAGATTTTTTTTTTCAATGTATAGGATTAAATTTTATTTCTGTCATTGAAGAAGGTGGCGTTAGCTCATCCTTTTAATAAACTTGATTGGTTCCATGGGAGTAAAATAGAATATTTTGTTAAGAATTTTTTTTTTTTTTTTTTTTTGAGATAGGGTCTCTTTTAAATACTCTGGCTGGGCTCTGGAACTCGGTATGTAGACCAGGCTGGCCTTGAACCTAACAGGCTTGCTTCTGCCTCCTAAGTAGGGAGAATAAAGGTGTGTGCCACCACCTTTGGTTATTAGTGAACACTCTATTGCTGGTTTTGTTATTCTTTTGTTTTTTGAGGCAGAATACTTTTGGCTGTCCTGGAACTCATTCTGTGAACCAGGCTAGCCTTGAACTTAGAGAGTTCTGGGATCAAAGGTGTTCCCCAAAACGACCTGGCCATTTTTCCCGTTTTTGAAGAATATTTTAGTGTCAATGATGTTGATGATAGCTAAAAACAATGCTCAGCATTTATAAAACACTTAATATGTATTAAGAGCTGTATTCTTTTCAGAGTCACATGGTGATGATGTTGGAACTCCTACAGCTGAGAAAAATAAAACGCCAGGCAGTGGTGGCGCATGCCTTTAATCCCAGCACTTGGGAGGCAGAGGCAGGTGGATTTCTGAGTTCGAGGCCAGCCTGGTCTACAGAGTGAGTTCCAGGACAGCCAGGACTACACAGAGAAACCCTGTCTTGAAAAACCTAAAAAAGAAAAAGAAAAAAAGAAAAAAAAAAAAAAAGAACAGCTGAGAAAAGTGCCAGCCAGGCGCATGGCTAGTCCAGAATCTTAGCTAAGACAGAAATCAGGAGTTGGAACAGGGGCTCTCTTAACCCCTGTGCTGCATGTATGGATGCAGTCTTTCTGGTGGAGAACTATACTGCTTCTCTTAGACCGTGAAGGTCTCAAGTACCCCTGTGTGTCTGCTGTTGTACTGAATGTTGAATGTAACTTTTCATGTGTGATTTCTTTAGAAAATTCAAATGGGCATTGGGTCCCTGGTGTAGCTGCTTGATGTCCCAAAGGTGCTAGTGTACCTAGTGGTACATGTTTATCAGTTTGTGTTCTTTTTCTCTACTCCTCAGTCTTAATTTCAAAGACCCTGAAGCAGTCAGAGCTCTGACTTGTACTCTCCTGAGAGAAGACTTTGGACTTTCTATTGATATTCCTTTGGAGAGACTAATTCCCACAGTCCCCTTGAGACTTAACTATATTCACTGGGTAGAAGATCTGATTGGTCACCAGGATTCCGACAAAACTACTCTCCGAAGAGGAATTGACATAGGTAGGTGGTTCTTATTTCCATAGAGTTTGCATTGTCAGACTTCTTTCTAAGCTCTTCTAGTATTAACTGTGAAAGAAGCTTTTATTTGGTGCACATAGAGGTTTCTGTCATTGATGTCTCTTGAGAGGGGATGGCCAGGTAAGTTAGGGAACAAGGGGGTTAGAGAAGTGGAAAGAAAAAGAGGTCCTTACTTTACTTAGCTTTCAAGTTTTTACCTTAGCATTGTCTACTCTGTTATTAATCAATTTTTTTTTTTTTTAAATTTTTATTTATTTATTATATGTAAGTACACTGTAGCTGTCTTCAGACACCCCACAAGAGGGCATCAGATATCATTACAGATGGTTGTTAGCCACCATGTGGTTGCTGGGATTTGAACTCATGACCTCTGGAAGAGCAGTCAGTGCTCTTAACCACTGAGCCATCTCACCAGCCCCATTAATCAATTTTTAATTAAACTTTTATTATTATTACCATTATTACTACTACTATTGTGTTTTGAGACTGTGTAGCCCTGGTATCCTGCAACTAGTTCTGTAGATCAGGCTGGCTTCAAATGCACAGAGATCTTGTCTCTCTGCCTAGTGAGTACTAGGATTAAAAGATTAAGGGCATGTGCCATTGTACCCAGTTCTAAAGCACATACCCACTCCCTTTTTTTCTGTGGTTTTTTTTTTTTTTTTTTTTTTTTTGAGATATCCTGAACGTTCAGGAACTAGCTATGTAGAGTAGACCATTGCTCTGCCACTGCTCCCAAATGCTGGGATAAAAGGCGCATGCTACCTTGCTTTGTCATAAATACTTAAAACCTTGGCTTGGCCTATCAGAGTTTCCACTGTATGGTCTTTACCCTGTTCTCTGAGCCCCGCTTATGTGATGTTTCTTTTGTTTTCCACACTTGTCTTGTAGACCACCAGGCCTTTTTGCATGTTACTTCCTGTGCCTCAAACTTCTCTCATCTTGATCTTGTTTGTTCCCATTAATAGTACACTTGTCATGGCAGGTCTGCTTTCTCTGTAAAAGCTTTCTCTGACCTTAAAACCTAAGAAAGGTTACTTGGTTACATGGTTAATATTTTTTATTTGCCACTAGACTACAAACTATAATTATAATAATCTCTCCAGGCCTAGCAAAGTTGTTGGATAAAGAAAGGCCTTATTCTTATTTTTCCTTTTTTTTAAAAAATAAAGAACTATATTTATATGAGTACACTCTCACTCTCTTCAGACACACCAGAAGAGGGCATCGGATCCCATTGCAGATGGTTGTAAGCCACCATGTGCTTGCTGAGAATTGAACTCAGGACCTCTGGAAGAGCAGTCAGTGCTCTTAACTGCTGAGCCATCTCTGCAGCACTTTTGTCTTTTTTTTTTTTCTTTTAAATGACTTATTTATTTTATGTGCACTGGTGTTTTGCCTGAATGTATGTCTATGTGAAGGTGTCATATTCCCTGGAAATGAGTTACAGAATTATTACAGTTGTGAGCAGCCGGGCGGTGGTGGCTCACACCTTTAATCCCAGCACTTGGGAGGCAGAGGCAGGTGGATTTCTGAGTTCAAGAGTTCGAGGCTAGCCTGGTCTACAGAGTGAGTTCCAGGACAGCCAGGGCTATACAGAGAAACCCTGTCTCGAAAAAACCACACACCCACAAAAAAAGACAGTTGAGCTGCTATGTAGGTGTTGGGAATTGAACCTGGGTCCTCTGGAAGAGCAGCCAGTGCTCTTAGCCACTAAGCCATCTCTCCAGCCTCAAGGCATTATTCTTTTAACATTTACATTCTAAATACTTCAAGTGAGCTAAGCACTGGAGACCTGATGGAGTTTGGTTAAGGCTTTTACCTTTATGTTCATTGTAGAAGATGGCTGATATGTCCTAGGAAGCTAAATGCTGCCTTGAACAGTGTGGTGGCAGCTGTTGCGATCCCAGCACTTGAGCTATGACAGTGGGAGGATAGCAGGTTCCAGGTCAGTGCTGGCCTGGGCTATGCAGTGAGACCAGAACCAAGAAAGGAGGTGGGGAAAGGGACTCTAGCCTATTAGGTGCTAATTGCATTTTCATTATGCCCCAAACCCACTAAAGCAGCACTTGGGGATATATGAGGTTAATGGATTTTAGCTCTTCACAAGGGGCAATGCTTGCTGAAATCATATTCTTTCTAATTAGGGTTCTATATAAATTCTTCCCCCAGACTCCCATCAGGTTGCTCTAATTCTATGACTATACTTTCCATTTTTATTTATCATTATAAGGATTATTACCCACTTAAAATGTCATTTGGCTTTCTGAGGGTATCAGAATTTCAGAATTTCAAGTTTCTTGGTCTTTAGGATTGATGGACAGAGTTAGAAGGGTAGGAGACCTGCTGGATGGTCATCCCTTTGAGATGAGGAAGGTCTTTTTTTTTTTTTTTTTTAATTTTCCAAAACATTCTAAATGACTCTAGTTTTCTTGAGTGCCCAGGCCTAACCAGTTATGACTCTTGAAGAGCAGGGTATCCTCTTCCTTACTTTTACCTCCCAAATCCCCAAGGAAGTGTTTGCCTGACAGCGTCAGGGCCAGGAGACCCTACCATGGCTGGTGAAGAGGCTAGTGCAGCATTTACTTTGGTCTCTGTTCCCTAGCCGGCTGAGAGTAAGTCATGAGGCAGTGGTGGGGCACAAGGGTTTCAGGAAGCACCTCCAGATCCTGTAGAGCCACAATGGAATTAGGAGAAGCAGCTTTGGAGTGGTGGGTCCAGGTTGTAGCTATCAGGAGAAACCCTGACTTTCTGGGATCTAATTGGTCAAGATTTGTTAGTGATTGTAAAAACAGGATCTGGGAGTGGGGGGGAAGTAGACCAGTCCACGGTTAAAGGCCTTACATGCAAATTTAGGAACAGATACTGGCTGTTGAAGCTAATTTTTTTTTTACACACCCCCACACACTATTTTTTGCTTTTTGAAAGTGAACTATGTTTATCTGCATGTTTTGTTTGTTTTCCCCCTTTGAGACAGAGTCTCAAACTCACAGTCTTCTTGCCTCTGCTTCCCAAGTGTTAGAATTACAGATGTGTGCCACTACATTGATTTGCTGTGAGACACTGTGGTGTTTTAACAAGTAGCATTGTTTTGAGGAACACTGTTTTGTATGGGACATAAAGACTTTTATGAGCAAATTGAATTTTACAAAATAAAGTGTTTTGGCCATTTTGGGTTAATAAACTTTGTTTTCCTGGGCCTTCATTTTACACACAGCATAAAAGAGGAAAGGATGAAGGTTTCTGTCCTCTAGGAAGGCTGTGCTCTGAGGTATGTGTGAAATGAGCAGTGAGCCCGGTAGCTGCTTGTGAGTTAAGCTGTGGAGACCTGAAAGAAGTCTTACAAAGAAGGGGTTTTTATTGTTCTCTCCTTCCCCTCTCATGTGGGATGTGCTCTGGATTTTTATTTTCTAGGTACCGGGGCGTCCTGCATCTACCCGTTACTTGGAGCAACCTTAAATGGCTGGTATTTTCTGGCAACAGAAGTGGATGATATGTGCTTCAATTATGCCAAGAAAAATGTAGAGCAGAATAACCTATCTGATCTCATTAAAGGTTGGTTCCGCTAAATAAATAGCCCTCCAGGCTTCGTTTATTAAAACTTCTTTAGTATAACATGCATAATTATTATTATTATTATTATTTTTTTTTTAAAGATTTATTTATTTATTTTGTATATTCGTGTATACTGTAGCTGTCTTCAGACACACCATAAGAGGGCATCAGATCCCATTACAGATGGTTGTGAGCCACCATGTGGTTGCTGGGAATTGAACTCAGGACCTCTGGAAGAGCAGTCAGTGCTCTTAACCACTGAGCCATCTCTCCAGCCCATGCATAATTATTATTATCTTCTGTGGTTTTTTTGTTTGTCTGAGACAGAGTCTCTATGCAGCTCTGGCTGCCCTGGAACTCACTCTCTAGGCCAGGTTGACCATGAACTCATAGAGATCTGCCTGCCTCTGGTCCTGAATGCCGGAATTAAAGATGAATGCCACCATGGCTGGCTTGTTATCTTTTGCTTAAATGTATAAACTTCAAAATTTAAATAATCTACTTGATTTTGATGCCAGAATCAAAGGAAGGAATATAATAAAGTTGATCCTTGTTTTTTTGTTTGTTTGTTTGTTTTTTTCGAGACAGGGTTTCTCTATGTAGCCCTGGCTGTCCTGGAACTCACTCTGTAGACCAGGCTGGCCTCGAACTCAGAAATCCACCTGCCTCTGCCTCCCAAGTGCTGGGATTAAAGGCGTGTGCCACCACTGCATGGCTGGTCTGTAACTGTTAATTCCTGGGAATCTGATTCCTCTGGCTTCTCAGGGTGATAGGCAAGCATATGATATACATCTGTATACACAAAGCACTCTCACACATAAAAATAATAACAAATATTAAGGCATATACTACCATATCCAGCTATTAAAGCATCATTATAATCATTATTTTACTATATACTCTTAAGTGGTTTTGGTGTATATTTTAATATACTTTATTTCATAGAACTGTTCACAGCATGATTGAATGTTCATCCCCTGCCCTCAGAAGCGCTGGGACTAAAGGCAAGTGCTACTACACCCGGCCAAATAAGCTCTTTGGAGTGTTTTCTTGCAGTTTGTAGCTTTTCATTCTCTTGACAAAGTGTTTTCCAGAGCAAAGTTGAAGTCCAGCACTTTCTGTTCCTCATGAACTGTGCATAAAGTCACTACCTGGCCAAGGTTTTGTTTTCCTATATGATTTTCTAGCTTTATTGTTTTTATGTTTGTGATATATTTTGAGTTAATTGGTGTAGGAGGATTAGAAGAACATTCTGGTGATTGAACCCAGGACTGTGTTATGTGCTAAGAAAGCACTTTGTCACTGAGTATAGTCCCCAGGCTTTTTAAACATTTTTGTTGGGTTTGTTGTTGTTGTTGGTGGTGGGTATTTTTGTTTTTGTTTTGTTCTGTTTTGTTTTTGAGATAGGGTTTCTTTGTATAACCTTGACTGTCCTGGAGTCCAGGCTGGCCTGGAACTCATAGAGATCCACCTGCCTCTGCCTCCTCTAAGTGCTGGGATTAAAGCTGTGCACCACCCGCCACCCAGCCTTAGACAGTTCTTTTCAATGCAGCTTTTCTCTCTGATGTATGCCATGTAGCATAGATTGCCCTGAGACTTGGGATCTTCCTACATAAATCAGCCGGCTGGGTCCTTGGCTCCATCTAGATAGAGGTCATTGGTAGACAAGGTCATTGGTAGACAAGGGAGGCTCAGGCTGCTTTGGGCAACTTTTGTTTCCCTCCCAAGTTTGGCAAAAGTAAGGGGCAGCAGCGGGCTGGTAGGGGCAGCTGCAGCAGCAGGTATGTCCTCTAATGTCCCTCTGCAGGCTGTATGTGAAAACCTGTGTTCTTTAGCTGCCTCTTAGAAGTCCTTAGTCCATCCTCACCAGCCATTGACAAGTGATAGCTTAGTGGTCTGACAGCCTTATAAGATTCGACAGCTCTCTAGAACTTGCAGACCAGGGCTTGCATTTGCATTTTAATGTAACCCAGAGAAATAAAAATTTCTCAGGCATGGGGTCGTGAGCACTAAAATTCTGAGGAGCTCTAACCTAGATTTCATGAAGGATGGTGGTAACACAGCCTATGTCTGATAGAAACTGTTTCAGACAGCCCTGCCTACAGCTATACCTGCAGAGCTGAGGCAACTACGTATATTCGCAATTTTCTTAATGTAACTACAGAACACAGTTCAGGGTGGTTGGTGCTGGGTAAGTCCTTAAGATAGCTAGGGAGAGTAGCTGTTACTTGAACTACATTATCTTATTATCTGACCTCTTTGGTGGTTGGCTGAAAAATGAACATCAGGAGGAGTACTTTCTGTATAAATTTAAGGTAGGGCTGGGCAGTCGTGGCGCACACCTTTAATCCCAGCACTTGGGAGGCAGAGGCAGTCAGATTTCTGAGTTCGAGGCCAGCCTGGTCTACAGAGTGAGTTCCAGGACAGCCAGGGCTACACAGAGAAACCCTGTCTCGAAAACAAAAAACAAAAAGTAAATAAATTTAAGGTAGGTCTAGTGGCACAGGTCATCTTGGCCACCTGGGAGACTGAGGTGTGAGGATCTATAATTTAAAGGTCACGTGGTCTGCAAATTGAGTTCAAGATCAAATTGTGCACATAGTGAGACCCTGCCCCAAAATTAAAAGGGCTGGGGGTTTAGTTCCTTGGTAGAGCACTTGCCTTATATTTATTTGTGAGATTCAATCCGAAGTACTACAAACAAAAGCAGTTAGAAATTTTGACAACTTATTAGCACTAATAATTATTTTAAACCATGCTTAACAGTTATAGCACCTGGCCATTATGCTAATGAGGGATAGTTCCCTTTCCTGTCTCATTCAGCCACAAGCTCTGTCTAACCTTTAGAATCAGTTCGTCAGTAGCTAAAATTTGGAAGTGGTTTTTTAATGTCTTGTTTTGATTTTTTTCTCTTTTTTCTTTTGTCAGTTCTTCTGTGTTAGGGAGGCTAGGTACACAACCACAACAGTGTGTGTGTAGGGGTTAGAGAATGGCTTATAGAGGGGTCCTCTCCCCACCAGAGGGATGGGTTAGTCCTCCGGCTTTATGTTTCCAGTTGAAGTTGACACTGTTGCCATCTGCCTTCATGGTGTTTGCATTCTGAACAGCTCTTGTGTTTTCTTTCTAGTGCTAGTTCACTGGGTGCATTTTTATGCTGTTTCTTAGGGACTTTGCTACTTCAAATGACCGACAGTGCTGAGTCTTGTATTTCTATGCATAATAGAGACAGTACATTTCACTTAGATGAGTTATAGTGAGTCAGCAGTATATAGTTTTGAACTTTTAACTAAAACATTTTGTATTTATTGGTATTTAACCTGCATATATGTCTGAACTACATGTGTACCTAGTGTCCAAGGAGACCAGAAGATCAAGTCAGATCTCCTCAAGCTGGGGTTACAGACAGTAGTGCTCTGCCACGTGGGTGCTGGGAATTGAACTCTAGCCCTTTGGAAAAACAGCCAGTGTTCTTAAACACTGAGCTATCTTTCTAGGCACCCTTGCCCCCTTTCTTTTTAAGTCATGGTTTCACTGTGTAGCCTTAGCTAGCCTGGAAATCTCTGTGTGGACCAGGCTAGTTTCAAACTCATAGAAGTCTGCCTGTGTCACTACATCTGACCAACAATGTATATTAAATCAATTCTCTTTAAGCAGAATACATCAAAGATGAGGTTATGTATCTAAAAGGCTTGCAGAAACTGTACTTGTCCTGTACTTCCCATAGGAATTTGTCTTTGCTAGTTCAGTGTTTTGGCAACTTCATAGACCATAGCTCTATGAATTGTCAAAAATAGGTATTGATAAAGTAACGTAGTCTTTAATTTTTGTGTGTGAGTGGGTGCACATGTGCATGTGCTTTTGGAAGCTTCTTAAGGTCTGCATCAGAGTGTTCTTCAATCACTTTCTACATTATTATTATTTTAAAATAGTTATATATGAGTGTATGTCTCTTTGCATCCCTGTGTATGAGCAGTGCCTGCAGAGGCGAAAGGAAGGTGTCAGTCAGTTCCCCCGGGACTGAAGTTATTGGTGGGTGTTAGTTGTCACGCGATTGGAATAGAAACCAGGTCCTCTGGAACAGCAACTAATTCTCTTTACCATTAAGGCTATCTCCAGCTCCTTCACTTCATGTTTTGAGACCTGGTCTTACTCGGAACCAGGAGGTCAGTGATTCAGTGAGATTGCCTGGCCAGCAGGCCCCAGGGGTATTCCTTTCTTTCTCTGTCTCCCTAGTGTTAAGATTGCAGGAGTGTGTTGTCATGCCCAGTTTTTATAGGTGCTAGGGCTCAAACTCAGGTCCTTATGTTCATATTCACATGTCAAGCACTTACTGACTGAGTCATTGCCCAAATCCTGCCTGCGCACACATTTTTTGGGGAGGAGGTACCTTTCTATTCTATTCTGTGTGTGTGTGTGTGTGTATCGCACATGCATGCATGTGCCATACACACACCAATTTGAGGCCAATTTGAGGCCAGCCTGCTTTACAGAGTGAGACTGTCTCAAAAAAAGAAAAAACAAAAAAACCAAAAAAACAAAAAAGCAATAACAAAAAGATACAGGGTCTTAGTCTGTAATCCAGGCTGGCCTTGATTTCTTTCCTGTTTCTGTCTACGAGTGCTCAGATTAGAGCCATATGCCACCACTACATGCTAAATTATAATATTTTAATTTTAGTATAGATATTTGCTAGAACTAGTACAAATCTCCATGATTTATGACCATCCTATATTGACAGATTTAATTTTTTGGGGGGTGGGCGGTTTCGAGACAGGGTTTCTCTGTGTAGTTCTGGCTGTCCTGGAACTCACTCTGTAGACCAGGCTGACCTCAAACTCAGAAATCCGCCTGTCTCTGCCTCCCAAGTGCTGGGATTAAAGGTGTGTGCCACTACCGCCCGGCCAGTTTTTAATTTTTTAAAGGTTTATTTTATATGAATGAGTATTTGCCAGCACATATGTCTATGTACCACATACATACCTGGTGCCTTCCGAGTATTGGCTCTTTTGGAACTGGAGTTTCCGATGGTTGTGAACCACCATGTAGGTGCAGTGAACCGAGCATGGGTCCTGGGAGAGCAATGTGTGCTCTTTCATTCCCCAGCTTCTTGTTATTGATTTTTAAAATATAATTAATTTAGCTTTTAGCAGAGTGAACATAAATTTATTGCAGAAAAGTTAGAACTCTCAAGAGTAGGAGGAATTCCAGGAGAGAAACCTTTTGTTTATTAAGCTGAGTTTTATGATGTCTCTTTAGAAAAGAATTAGCACTTTTCCTAGTAGTGTTAACACGTGTGTTAAGAGGAACATCGATGAAGTTAATGCGTCTGCTCTAACTCTCCATTGCTGCAGTCCTGTCTCTCACTGGGAGTGGAGTGAAGGAAGTTTACACGCAGGCTTGCCATCGTTTTCCTTCTTGGTTGTGTACTGTTTTGTGTACTTACTTTAAAGACATTACAAAATGAATAGTAACTAACACTCCTTGTTTTCTTCCCTAGTGGTGAAGGTGCCGCAGAAGACACTCCTGATGGATGCGCTTAAGGAAGAGTCTGAGATAGTCTATGACTTCTGTATGTGCAACCCTCCCTTTTTTGCCAACCAGTTGGAGGCCAAGGTAAAGTATCTTTAAGTTACCAAATGCTTAGCTAGCTTTGACTCATTGCAGAGGTAAGAGCAGAAGGCAGTTTTTCTTTAGAGTCTGTATAATTTAAAATGCTGTTGGTTTGAGGCATTTGTGAACTCAGTACAGATGGATTTTCCAGTTAAACAGTTAATTTATGTAGCTGAGAAATTCAGTGAATAAGGCTTCAGGAGCAGTTTGGTCAAGGAATTCATACTACCATCGAAGCCAGGCTTTTGTTTCTCGTTTCCTCTCCACTCTACCCTGGCTCTCTGCTGTTTCTTCTTAGACTTAAAACTTTAGTTTTTTGAGACAGGATTTCTCTGTATATCCCTGGTTGTCCTGGAACTCACTCTGTATCTCAGTCTAGCCTAGAACTCAGAGATCGGCCTACCTCTGCCTTCTGAGTACTGTGGTCAAAGTCCTGTGCTACCACTACCACTGCCTGGCTAAAACCATTTTTAAACTTTAAATTTATTATTTATGTATATGAGTGTTTTGCCTGTGTGAATGTTTATGCACTGCATGTGTGCCAGGAACCTTCAGGGACTAGCCCTTGGATCTCATGGTTGTGAGCCACCATGTGGGCGCTGGGACTGGAACCCAGGTCCTTTGGAAGGGCAGCCTGTGTTCTTAACCACTGAGGCATCTCTCTAGCCCCTAAACTTTGAACTTTCAAAATTGGCCTGAGCTTGTCAGTCTAGGAACAAAAATTGCTATTTTTTGTCATTTGATGGTAAATAAATGGCTGAATGTTGAAAATGTACTGGCCTTTAGATATTGAACAAAATCTATTGGATAAAAAACTGTTCTGTGGAGACCTGTAATTCCCATTACATGGGAGGCTGAGGCAGAAGGATTACAAGTCCTAGACTAGTTTGGATTTAGTAAACCTAAGCCTATCTGAAGCAACTTAGTGAGTCTGAAAATTTAAGAGAGAGGGCTAGGAATATCTCTTAGTGGTAGAGTGTTTGCCTAGTGTGTGAGAGGCCCTAGCTTCAAACCTTAGCACTGTAACATTCAAAACATAATGTATTTAAACATTCACTGTGGGAACTAGAAAGACGGCGGCTCAGCAGTGACGGCACTGACTGCTCTTGTAGAGGATGTGGATTCAGTTCCCAACACCCACATGGCAGCTCACAACCTATTTATAGCATCAGTTCCAGGGAATCCAACCCCGTCTTCTGGCCGCTTGGGCACCAGTGGTACACACATATGAGTGCAAACACTTATAACATCTTTTTTTAGAAAGTTATTAATATTTTAGGTAGGCTCTCACAATTCAGGCTGCTGGAATTCACAGAATTTTCAAGTACTATCTATGATTATGCCATCATGCCCAGCCCAAAATAAATCTTCAAAATAAATTTAATTTGACAAAGTCAGGAATTTGAGCAGTAATTTATTAGAAATACTAACATTCCTGATTAGAAAGTGAAGGAAGTACAATTTAAATAATTTAAAAGTTAGCTTTTGTGTAAAGTTATGAAATAATAACCATGTTCTATAGTAATATTTATTAAAAGTATTGTTTGCCCACACTCAAAAAAATATAGAGAGGACTTTGGCTTCCCAAAGTACTTGGTGGCACAGTGCAGAGGGCAGCAGTGCTCTTACCTCCCGCAGCTTTTCAAGCTCCCTCAGTATCCTTGTTTTACTGTCTTCACATTTGAGGTGGGTGTTAATAAGTTGCCTGTCTGGCAGGCCAGACAGTGCTCTACATTGACTGCTGCTTCTGCTCCAGCTAGTGTGAGGTTCCTCAGCACCTAGCAGCTGTAGCTTTGGTATGCTACCCCAGTGATGTGGAGTGGTGTTTCAGACGGCTGGCTGTGCTGAGCGTCTTTTCTTGTGTTTAGTGGCCCTTTGCCCATCTTCCATGGAGTGATCTCATTCAGTTACTTTGCCTCACCTGTCCCCTTCTGGGTGAAGGACCAGTCAGCCCCTTATAGTTCTATATTGAGCTAATTAGCAGCCCTGGGACCTTGCACATTCTGCACAAGCCCTGTGTCACTCACCCTCCACTTTGCCAATTTTTAAATTGGGTTACTTTTCTTCTTACTAAGTTTTAAGGACCACCGTCCCAACCCCCAACAGGGTTTCTCTGTATCCCTCTTTGTCCTGGAACTCTGTGTAGACCAGGCTGGTCACACAGGCTATGTCACAGCCAGGCTATGTCAAACTCACATAGATCCTCTATCCTCTACCCATAAGTGCTAGGATTAAAGGCGTGCACCACCATGGCTGTTTTAAAGAGTTTCTATCCTAGAGTCGAGTCCCTTTAATTATAATGATTTGCAAACATTTTGTCATCCTGTGGTTTGTCTTCAGTTTTCCATGGTGTCCTTTATAATGAAACTGTTTTTAGTTTTGATGAAATACAATTTATCTATTTTGTGTTATGCTTTTTGGTGTTATATCTAAGAAACCATGGGCTAATCCAAGTTAATGAAAATTTACTTTTATGTTTTCTTCTTGGGAGTTTTTAGATTAAGCTCTTAGGTTTAGATCATTGATGCATTTGAGTTAATTTTTTTTCATATAAAGTGAGGTAAGGATGGATTAAATACTTAAATATAAGAAAGAGAACCATGAAAGTATTAGAAGAAAACATAAGTAAATATTTATTTAATCTTTGGGTAGATTTCCTGGCCATGGTATCAAGACAGAAAGCATAAAGGAAAAGCAACAGATTGGGCTATATAAAAGGTAAATGTTTTTATATTTAATCCCCAGGGCCTTGCGCATGCTAGGCAAGTGCTTTATCACCAAACTGCAGCCCCCACTGGCTGTGTGTTCTTTTAAATCCTCAGTGTAGCGCAGTAATAAGTAGACTACATTCAAAGGCAGTGGCTTTTGTTGTTGTTGTTCAGGGTGTAAACTCTCGGAATTCTCGAAGACCTCCACCTAGTTCTGTAAATACAGGAGGCATCACCGAGATCATGGCAGAGGGAGGTGAGCTAGAATTTGTCAAAAGGATCATCCATGACAGCTTACAACTTAAAAAAAGATTAAGGTAAGTAGGAATTTTGTCTCGTGATCCTAAAGAAATTGTATCACTTTTAAGGAAAACTAATCATTGGAATTGAAAAGTAAGTAGATGACTCCAAAAGGCTGCACAGAAAAAAGGGAGAGAGATCCCAGATGTTCACCCTGCTCCCATTAGTGTGGCGGCCTGGGAGGGAACAAAACCGACTCGAATATGGCTTTGGATTAGAAAACAGATGGGTTCGAATCTGTCCTGTGAACCACAGTCCATTTGCTGCCTAGTCCATGAAGCAGGTGAGGTTCTTGGACTCTGTTTCCTGAACAGTGACAGATGTGAGGACACGAGCTGTCAGGAACTTCATGAAGGGAAACATTACCAGCCATCTTGGAGATGGGCTAGGGCTATTCTGTTTTAAAAGCTAATTATTTTGGACAACACACTTGTCATTAAAGAGTGTTATTAGATTCTCACTCAGGACAGCTTGTCTCTTGTAACTTTCCACTCTACCACATGTTGTTAATATGACAGATAATGTGATAATTAAAATAAAAAGAACGCTCAACCCTAGGATTGAGTTTTGTGAAGTAGAGAAAGTGTTTATTTATTTTTGTGTGTCATAAAAGCATAATGAAATTTACTGTCCAATAATTCTAGAAGGTCTACATCGGGAAGAGGGCGTGTTGTGGAGCATGAGCTCAAGGCCTCCTGTGGCAGGCACCCAGCCCATGCCGAGTTACATAGAATCCTCAGTAGATTGATTTTTTATTAAACGTGTAGGTATATTTTGCCTGCACATGTATGTATGTGTAACAAATGAGTGTCTGGTGAGTAGGACAGAAGAGATTGTTTGGTCCTTTGAAGTAGAGTTACAAATGCTTGTGAACTCTTATGGGAATTGAACCCTGGTTCTCTGGAAGAGGAGTCAATGCTCCCAAACACTGTCCCATCAGATTAGCAAGGTTTTTTTGTTTTGTTTTTGTTTGTTTGTTTGTTTGTTTTTGTTTGTTTGGGGGTTTTTTGTTTTTTGTTTTTGTTTTTTTTGAGACAGGGTTTCTCTGTGTAGTCCTGGTTGCCCTGGAACTTACTATGTAGACCAGGCTGGCCTCAAACTCATAGAGATCTGCCTCCTTCTGCCCCCCAAATGCTAAGATCAATGAAGTTCTCCACTCTGCAGGGCCAGAACTCTTGGTTTTCCAAGGCTGTACCTGCACCTCTTAAGCAGTTCCCTGTTACCTTCCTCTTGTAGCTCCAGCCACCATCTTCTGTCCTTGAGTTTGGCTGCTCTGGATACCTCATCTGTATGAAGCCAGGCAGTAGTTGTCCTCTTCTGGTTGGCTTCTTTCACTTAACATAATGTTTTCATGCTTCATCCATCCTGTAATCTCTGTTTTCTTCCTTTTGGAGAAAGGCAAATAGTTTTGTGTTTTGTGTTATTTTCATTGTTGTGTTCTGTTTTTGTTTGTTTGCCACAAGCTCTTGATATAGATTTATGATTGGTGCGTGCTGGTTTACAGCCTAGCAAGTAAGCATCAACTGCCTAGTTAAGGGAGAACCTGCCTCACAAATAGGTGGAATATGACGGAGGACACCGTGCATGTCTCTTCTTCTGGCTTCTTCATGTGTGCATAGGAACCCACCCCTAGGCTTGAACAAATACATACATGAATCAGTCTCTAAAAAGATATGGTCTGTCTCTCACATATCACAGAAGCCCTTTGTCTTAATGTTAATGTTTTGCTTCAGTTGATTTCATTAAAGATACATTAGAGTATATTGAAAGAGAAAGCTCAGGCTAAACGCCTTGAGTAAAGTTACTTACTTGAAGAAGTAAGTAAATTTAAAGTAAGTCAATAGAGCACTGAAATTTGAAGAAGGAAGATATGTATTAAGAGGACGTAAGACCTAATTCAAGCCAAATTGTATTCTAATGAGTAAGTCCATAAACAGTGGAGCTAGAAAGGTCATCATTTTGTAGTTGTCATAGTAATAATTGATCTCTGGGAAAAAAGTCAACAGCAGGAAATTTGAAGAACTGGGTATATTGTCTGGGACTCAATGGTATAATACGTATGAAGTGTCTTTTGTACACTGGGTTTGATCCTAAGTATTGAAAAACACCAAAGAACAGGGTATTTACATAGTTTCAGAGTCTCTCTCCATAGAGTACTGACTTTCAAAGAATGGGAAATTTAAAGTGGAGAAGCCATAAGAACTGCCCACACCCTGGTCTGATATCCCTAGAAAGACATAGGAGAACCTGTGTTTCCTTCACAACAAAAACAGGTTCTCTGAAACTAATTCACTTCCTGACATGAAAGTAACGGATGATCAAGGAGCCATTCCAGATGGAAGAGACTAAGGGGACATGGCAGGTAACTGAAGTGCACAACCACACACTGGAGTGTGCGTGCAGGAGAGATTGGGATAATTGTGAAAGTGAGTATGGACTGATTATATTCCAGTCCAGGTCATACATAATACCATGGCAACATTAGAGTTTTTTCAGTTTTGATCATTGCTCAGTGTTGTTACCAAAGGAATGTCCTTTTTTCTGTAAACTGTACATGTCAAAATATTAGGGTTCAGGAATGTTTCATAGCTACCTCCCAAATAGCTTAGAAAAGATACAGAATAAACACATGGGGGAACTTGTTAATAGGTAAACCTAGGTGAAGGGTAGGAGAGTCATTTGTATTAATCTTGCAACTCTAACAGGCCAGAAATTATTTCAAAATAATTTTTCTTGAAGCTTGGCATCTCAGAGGGATTGTGGAGTGCTGTAATGAGCAGAGCATGCTTCCTGATTAACAGCTGTAATGGGCTCACAGCCTCCTGGGGAACCAGAGCTTCCTTTGTTCCTTTTTGTTCCACTTGCATTTTGATGAGTTGTCACAGGGTATCTCTTGAGATTGTAGCAGCGTTTAGTGGTTAGGCACGTTTACATGTGAAGCTAGAAACAAGGAGGGAGGTTATACTCATCTTTGAGACAATTTCCATATCAGGCCAGCTTTTGAACTCATTATTTAGCAGATGATTACTTTGAATTTCTGATTCTCCTACCTCTACCTCCTAAAGCTGTGCAGCATTTTGTCCAGGGCTTTGTGTGCTCGGCAAGCACCTCTCCCCATGCTCCCCTCTCTTGAGACAGTCTTATATAGTCCACTGTGCTTGAGACTGACTTGATTCTGTTGCTGGGGTTATAGTCTTGCACCATACCCAGCCTGTACATCTTCCTTAAATGTACTTAATGAAAGTACTTGGGCCAGGAAGAGATTTAGTTTAAATTCAGCTTTAATTGGTACAAGAACCATTTGAGTTATCTACTTCTAGAGTTTAAATGTGGTACCTGTGTCTTTCGAATAATTTGTTTTATCTAGTGGTGAGATTGTATAGTAAAAGTTGTTTATAATTTTTTTTTCTTCAGGCTGTGGATGTGGGTAAGTTGGTAGAGTGCTTGCCTGGCGTGTGTGAATCTCTGGTCCAATCCCAGCCCACAGCACTGAACGTACCAGCCCAGTAGCACATGCTTGTAATCCTAACACTGGCGTGAGGTGGGCTGAGGCAGAAGGGTCAGAAATTCAGTCATCCTAGGCTACACAGAAAGTTGGAGGATAGCCTGAACTAGAGAGTGTCAGTCTCTTGCTGCTTCCCCAGTTCCCCTCTTCTGTGTCTCCGTTTCATGTCTGTAGTTCTGTGATGATTTAACTTGTTCAAACCTGATACTTTGTCTTTTTTATTGAATTTTCTTTTTTTTCTTTAAAGAATTATTTATTTATTTTATGTATATGAGTGCACTGCAGCTGTCTTCAGACACACCAGAAGAGGGCATCAGATCCCATTACAGATGGTTGTGAGCCACCATGTGGTGCTGGGAATTGAACTCAGGACCTCTGGAAGAGCAGTCAGTACTCTTAACCACTGAGCCATCTCTCCAGCCTTCAGTGATTTTTTTTTTTTAAATCTAATCTTAATTATATCTTTTCTTCTTGGTTTTTATTTTTTAATTTGCTTTGCGGATCTTGACTGCTTCACCCTCTCATCTCTGTCCTATCAGATCAGCAGAGTCGCTGGGCTATGTTTGGTGTCCCTTCCCTGCATTGCAGCTGGAAATACGCTTGGAGCAGTAAGCTGTGACATTGCTAGTTCCAGGACAGCCAGGGCTATATAGGGCAAACCTTGCCTCAAAAACCAAATTGAAATCAAAAACAGGATGTGTGCCTGTGTCATACCCCACCTGTAGGTAGTTTGTCTTTTATTTGTGCCCACCTGTGGTGCATGGCCAGCATGTGAAAGGCAGAGCACAGTATCTCTTTTTCCACCATCGCATCCGGCTGTTGAACTCAGGCTTTTATTTACAGGGCCATTTGCCAGCCAACAGAGTTTTTTAAGTTCCCTTGGGCTCCCCCCCACCCCCCTGTGCCCATATTTGTCTAATTTGTGCAATTTTTGTTATTTGTAAGTTAACTCAATATTTGTTTGCTTCTGTTCTCATAAACAATGCTTATAACCAGTCTTTTATCTTGATTTTTTTTTCAAGGTGGTATAGCTGTATGCTGGGAAAGAAATGCAGTCTAGCTCCACTGAAGGAAGAGCTTAGAATCCAAGGGGTAAGGCTGTGTCATTACCATTCAGATGTGTCCTCTTAGGATGAAATTTCGGTATATTTTATACCCTAAAGCTAAATGTGTTTTACTTTTTTTTTACTTTTTTTTTTTTTTTTTGTATGAATGTTTTGTCTGCAGGTAAGTGTGCACCTTCAAAGGTCTGAAGAGGCCAAATCTTCTGGAGTTATGGATAGTTGTAATCTACCCTGTGAGTTCTGGGACCCAAGTTGGGCCCTCGACAAGAGCAAGAATTGCTCCGAATTGCTGAGCCATCTCTCTGGCCCAGTATTTCTTGTTAAGGATATTAAAAGCTACAAAGTGATTCCTTTTTCCTTTATGAAATGTAGTACATGAAAGGGACATTACAAAGCTGCTCATGGCCAGACTTTGGCTGGCTCTTGTCCTTAAAAGGTAAGTAAGGGTGATGTGCACGCCTTTCCTCCCAGCGCTCAGGAAGCAGAAGCCGTGGCTTGAGTCTGCGGCCAGCCTGGATCTCCATAGCAAGCTCCAGACAAGCCACATAATGAGAGTGTATCTTAAAACAACAGTAAACAAAGGCTTCTGAGGATGAATGCTTGTCTGGCATGCATGAGGCCCTACAGTCAATCCCCAGCAGTGCTAGAGCTGTTTACTTGTGATCCCAGCACTTGGGAGAGAAGCAAGAGGGTCACAAGTTGGAATCCAGTTTGGGGCCACATAGCCAAATCCTCTATCAAAGGAATAAAGAAAAACTGCTTAAATCATTTTACACTGACTCCAGAAAACTGTTCTAGGTGTTTATTGTTTGAATTTATATATAAATTCTAATATTTTATGAGAGGTAAAACTTCTGTGTAGAGATTATGTGTTATCAGGCAGCTATATATACCTATTTTTGGAATAATGTTTGTTAACAAAAGAACAACAGGAGTTAGCAGCCAGAAACATTAGTAGAGAGGCTTTAGTTTGAAGGTGGGTGTGGTATCATCCATTTGTCAGTACTCAGGAGGTTGAGGCAGGAAGATCAGGAGTTCAAGGCTATCCTTAGCTACCTGAGACCCTCTCTTAAACCAAACAAAACTTCCATGTGAGATACTACGTTTGTTGGTTTCAGGTTCCTAAAGTCACCTTCACGGAGTTTTGTCAGGGTCGGACAATGAGATGGGCCTTAGCTTGGAGTTTTTATGATGATGTCACAGTACCGGTAAGTGAAGATTTGCTTTGGCCTTTCTATATATATACCTGTTATGTGATAAGCTTCAGTAGATAATACATAGTCTGTATGATCTACTGTTCTATTTTCCTAAAATTTTCTCCAGATGTTTATGGTAAATGAGAAGTATTTATAAATAAGAATAATCCTAGCATGTATTGATTAGAAGTTACTGTCTTAGTTTCGGTTTACTGTTGTACACAGACAGCATGATCAAGGCAGCTCTTATAAGGACAACATTTAATTGGGGCTGGGTTACAGGTTCAGCGCTTCAGTCCATTATCATCAAGGCAGGAGCATAGCAGCACCCAGGCAGGCATGGTGCAGGAGGAGCTGAGAGTTCTACATCTTGTTCCAAAGGTAGTCAGGAGAAGACTGGCTTCCAGGCAGCTAGGACGAGGGTGCCTGTGCCCACAGTGACCCACTTCCTCCAACAAAGCCACACCTCTAGATAGTTCCACTCCCTGGGCCAAGCATATTCAAACTACCATATTCCACTCCTTAGCTCCCATAGACTTGTTCAAACATGAGTCTGTAGGCGCCATACCTAGCCATAGCATAATGCAGAATACATTTAATCCAAAAAGTTTTCATAGTCTGTAACAGTCTGAACAATGTTAGAAGTTCAAGGTCTCTTCTGAGAGTCATCCAATCACTTAACTGTAATCCCCAAAGCAAGACAGGAGACCAGCTGGGCAAACTCCAAACACTGCATCTCCATGTCTGATGTCAAAGTGGTCTTCAGATCTCCAATTCTTGTTTTATCTTTGTCTTGTCTTGTCTTGTCTTGTCTTGTCTTGTCTTGTCTTGTCTTGTCTTGTCTTGTCTTGTCTTCTCTTCTCTTCTCTTCTCTTCTCTTCTCTTCTCTTCTCTTCTTTTTTTGTTTTTTTTTTTTCGAGACAGGGTTTCTGTGTGTAGTCCTGGTTGTCCTGGAACTCACTCTGTAGACCAGGCTGGCCTCGAACTCAGAAATCCTCCTGCCTCTGCCTCCCAAGTGCTGGGACTAAAGGCATATGCCACCACCGCCCAGCTTGCTTTATCTTTGTTGACTGCAACACACTTCTTTCTCCTGGGCTCCCTGTTTGCAGCTTTCCTCAGCAGGAATCTCATGGCTCTGGCATTTCTAACATCTTGGGGTATCTAAGGCAACTTCAACCTTATAGCTTTTATTCCAGTGTCTGGGATTCACACATGATGTTCTGGACTCCTCCAAAGGGTTTGCATTACTTTTCCAGCTCTGGTGTCTATAGTACTCTAGGCTCTGGTTGACTCCACTGCTGCTGCTGTTCTTGGTGATCATCCCACAGTACTGGTATCTCTAATACACTGGGGTCTTCCACTGCAACTAGGCTTCACCAATAGCCCCTCATAGGCTCTCTTCTGCTGCCAAGCCTCAACTTCTTTGCATGACCTCTTCAATCCTGAGCTGTGAACTGCAGCTGAGGCTGCACCTTCACCAATGGCCTTCCATGTCCTCTCACAGTGCCAAGCCTCAGCTGCTCTCTATGACCCCAAACCCCACCTGGGTGATTCTTACACATTACTGAGTCCAGCTGCAACACAAGGTACAATCTTGCCTATCTCTGGAACACAGCTTCTCTGTGCTCTCAGAAAACACGTCCCAGAAGATTTCACCTCAGTGATGCTGCTCTCTTCTTAATCGTGGCCAATTTCTTAGCTCCAGCTAACCAGCATCAGCTGTCCAGTAGTTCCTTCTATTCTTGACTCTAAACCAGAGTCACAATGGCCAAAGCTGTTGCGTTCTGCTTGCTGGGCCTAGAACACGGCCACCCTTGTTCTATTACATTATTACTAGCTTTCTGTTTTCTAACTCCTTTACTGCTTAAGCTTAGTCCTAGAGCTTGCTTTGTAGATGAACCTTGAACTCAGAGATCTGCGTGGCTTTTGTCTCATGCACTGCTACACCTCGACTTAAGCTTTTCTCTACTGGAACTTGCTCTATACTAGGCAGGTCTTGAACTCAGAGATCTACTTGCCTCTGTTTCCTGGGACTGAAGGTGAGTACCACTGTGCTTGGACCTAAGCTTAGCTGGGAGGTATCTTGCTGCAAAGTCACGACTCCCTTAATCTCTTTATCTCCTTAAATGTAGGATTCAGCTCCATTTCTTTTCCTGATGCCCCTTTATTACTTGAACCATACATTTTATATTTTTCCTTTCTCACTTTGCTCCTTTTCTTTAAAATCTTCTTCATAAGAGTAAACTTTAGTAACCACACAACAGAATTTATACCAGGCTGTTTGGAGACTTCCTTTGACAAATCAATTTAAATCTCTTCACCTTAGCTTCAGGGAGACTCTTTGGACAATGGCAAAAAGCAGCCATGTTCTTCACCAAAATATCATAAAAACAGTATCTAGGCCACATACTAACATTCGCTATTGAAACCTCTTGGGCCAGCAGGCCTATACAGTTCAAATCACCCTCGGCACCACTGTCTTCTATATTCCTACTAGGATGGGTCATTAAGCCCTACTTAAAGCATTCCATGGCTTTCCAAATCCAAAGACTCCAAATCTACATTCTCCCAAACAAAAGTATGGTCAGGATTATTACAACAAGAAGTCCCTGGTACCAACTCTGTTTTAGTTATGTTTTAGTTGTACTGCTGTGAACAGACACCATGATCAAGGCAGCTCTTATAAGAACAATATTTAATTGGGGCTGCCTTACAGGTTCAGAAGTTCAGTCCATTATCATCAAGGCAGGAGCATGGCAGTGCCCAGGCAGGCATGGTGCAGGAGGAGCTGAAAGGTCAATGTCTTGTTCTGAAGGCAGTCAGGAGAAGATTGGCTTCTTGGCAGCCTGGATGAGGGTCTTAAAGCCAGTGTCCACAGCGACACTTTTCCTCCAACAAAGCCACACCTCTTGATAGTGCCACTCCCTAGGCCAAGCATATTCAAACCACCTCCGGCAACATAGCCTATAGGAACACCTGGCTGGTGTAATGATTCTGGTGGACATTCTTTAGTCTGTTCCTCTACCTGGCCACTGTTGCTTTTCTAGCCTTTTGGAGAGCTGCCTTTGTGGTTGTAATCATTCTTCGTCCTGTTCTAATTTTTTTATTGCTGGGGCTTTATTTAACCCAGTGTCTCAGGCATAGTAGGCAAGTGCTGAACCTTTACGCTATACTCCTAGCTCTCTGGCTATATCCTTTTCATGTGTAACACTTTGGGATTGTACTATTCTCAGTAAAAGGCTCTGGTTCATCTTTTATGAATACCATTAGAAAGAATATGTAGGTAGCATGTGCCAGACCCAGTACGTGGAAAGCAGAGAACGAAGAATTGTGAGTTTGAGGCCAGCCTGAAGTAGAACTAAGGAGACTGCCTCAGAGAGAGAGAGAGCAGCTGGAGTTGTGCCTCAGTAGGTAAGAGTGCTTTCTGCTCTATCATAGTGCTGGAGTTCAGATCTTAAGCCCTATGTCTGACAGGTCACAACGCCAGAAACCACAGCTCCAGGGGCTCCAATACCTTCCTGGTCCCCATGTGTACTTGCATGAGTGTGTACATGCTGTGTGTGTGTGTTCATGCATACATGCGTGCACACTCACACACACAAAAGCCACTCTTTGTTTATGTATATGAGTGCACTATCTGGATGAACACCTGCAGGCCAGAAGAGGTCATCAGATTTCATTATAGATGGTCATGAGTCACCATGTGGTTGCTAGGAATTGAACTCAGGACCTCTAGAAGATAAGCCAGTGTTCTTAACCACTGAGCCAGACCAAAAGCCACATCTTCACCTTTTTTTTTTTTTTTTTTTTAAAGAAGATTTGTTCCAAATTTCTCTCTGTTTTCTCTGTACTGTTATACAAGGAAAAGGTTTCTGAAGCTAGAAATGGTGGCACACAGCAATAATCTCAGCACTAAGCAGCCTAAAGAACATTAAAGAATTTTAGGCCAGCCTGGAGTACATAGTAAAATGCGATTGTGTGCTTGTGCGCACATGCGCTCTCTCTCTCTCTCTCTCTCTCTCTCTCTCTCTCTCTCTCTCTCTCACACACACACACACACGGACGGACGGACGGACGGACGGACGGGGGCAGAGAGGCTCAGAGGCGGGGAGGGGTTTTCTGGGCCTCCCTGGGAAGTGGTGGTAAAACATCATGTGTCTGTTCTTAGAGATCCCTGCAAGAGTGGTCTGCTGTTTGTTGCCGGAGCCACACATCCTAACCTCTGCCCAGCTACTTAGCTCTTCTTATGGTGTTTATGGAGGGAGGCTAGTATGGGCTCCTGTCCTGTAGGTCTCTCTCCCAGTCCATCCGTAAAGCAGGCTTATTTTGGGAGTGCTTTTTCTAAGGATTTGGCCATTGTTGTCTCCAGAGGTATCCAAAATGTTGTCTTTGAGTTCCTGTTGCTAAAGACAAAGAAGTAGATAGATGGGTGTGGGAGCACCAAGGGACGATTTGCAGATGCTTCTGAAACATGAAGTCAGACTTGAAGCTGAGGTAATTCCCTCCACAACTAGTTGTACTGCAGGATTGAAATTGCTCCTATAGAGTGTCCTTTCTATGGAAGCCTAGATTTGCTTCTGGGTTGTACGGTAGGGTGCCTAAAGGTTAGTGTTTGATTAGATCTCTAATTTAAAAGATGCCTTTGCTTTCCATAGCTCTATCCTCCTTCAAATGTTACCCTATTATCTTCTAGACTGCACAGACCTCCCCAGCAGATGGTTCAAATCATTAGCAGTGCCCTAAGCTGTCCCCGTATAGACACAGACAGCTGTGGGAACTTGAGTAGCACCTGCTTCCAAGAGTATGTGCTTAACCTACTGCCCACAATTTTGATGCAGCTGGAAGGTGAGCTCTGACACTCCCCACAGCAGCTCGGGGACGTTTTCCTTTGCCCTCTTTGATTGAGGGAGTCATCACAGGTACTAGTGTTGAAGGGCAAGGTCTTGTGCAAAACCAGAATCAATCAGTTATCCATCTATCCATCCATCCATCCATCTATCTATCTATCTATC